TATATATATAATTGTATGATTATCTTAATTAATTATTACGACTACTAGCAGTAACAGCAGTTATTTTAAAGCTGCTCTTCTGTGTGCGGACTAAAGCGAATACAGATGATTCTAATCATATATTATAATGATACGATTCGTTTAACACATAAAAGCCGACATCAGCAGGTGTCTCAAAGGACAACAAGGGCGAAACGAACGCAACAAAAAGCATAACGACACTCTAAACAGGATTAAAATATGTCGTACGACATCGGGACGATGACGTGAGTAACGGCCGCGGTGGTATAGAGGTTCGCTGGTTGCGAGACGCGTGTAGATAGTGCCAGTTGAAATGAGCAAGCCTAGTGTCGATCAGCGGGACGACCAGTAAGTAGGACAACTGTAATAAAAAAAAAACAATACCAATAACCAAACACAGCATGAACAACCGTTACAACACAAAGTCAGGTCGAGTTCCTGAACAATGACACTAAAATGTTGGATAACTGAAAACGTCGGACATTGCGTAGAACGCATTAGCTCTCAAGCAGTACGCCGTGCGCTCGAATGGGGAAAAAGCTGGCCACTCGACGAGAGTCTGAGTAGTAGTGATGGAGTAAGCTTATCAGTGATCTGTTACTAGTTTTTGTAATAGTCATCAATGGGATTAGTAGGAAGTATAAATACGGGGCCGAATCAAATTGTTCGCCTTCATACAGTCCATCTTATCACAAGGATATCGTCACACTAGCGAACGAGGAAATTGATTCGTAGAGCATTGCACGGGCATTACCCATTTAGTTGGCCACTGCTTGAGTCGGCGAACGGTTTATGTCCGCGGAGGTAGGTGACCTCAACGCTAAAATCACTTTTTGCCAGACGATTAAGACGGTAGGCAGAAAAGTTTACTGTAAAATTTGTAAGTTCTTGTACCATATATTATAGAGTTTAGTATCAAAGAGACAAGGTACGAACACTGATAAGAGGCAAGGCGGCAGAGTAAGTGTTAAGCTGAGGTGCCATGGATAGCCTCTACCTCTATTGTAAAAAAACGATGCGAAACAGCTGTAATAATATTAATAGTAAATAATAAGAAAAAACGACGAAGGAGTACAAGCTTAAGGGAGAAAATGTTAAGCTATTTTAGTTGCTTCTCGCGGAAAGATTCAAGCCGAGTTTAGTGGGCACTACCATAACTAGCTCACTGCCGATGTACACAGAATGACAGGCAAAGACAAACAAGTCAGAGTCAAATTAATCTTATGTCCACTTGATGTTCTCTTTCCTTTCTTCTTCATACTTAAAAAATCAATTGGAAATAGGATTACTTCTTCCGACAGGCTATACTTACTATCTGGATCGGGTTCTTAAGGTTGCAGTAATATTTACTATAGTGTAGATTGGATCGTGCCCTTTTCGATAGATAATATCGTATAAATGTATCCTTGCCGCACATTGTATTATTAAGTTACGAGAAGTAGCGTAGCCGCTCGAAAGGCTAAAGTGTTTCATGGAAACGGCTTAAACAATGCATGAGGTGCGACAGCGTCAAATGTAGAGAATACTGCTGTAAAATTTCCCCACCTCTCTCCTGGGGCGGTCGTGTATATTTGTAGATAGAGGGTGGGAGACGAAGAGAAATGCGAACAGGTGAGCCTAAGCAGATACGATTAGGGTAAGTCCCCTCTCTAAAAAAGGTGTGTGTCCTTGCGAAGTAGGCTGACAAAGAACTGAAAATCGAACGTGACGGCCAAAAAGAAAAGCTACAAAGGAAGTGAAGGCCCATAGGGGATAAAAGGCAAATTATCAAAAACAGGACACCATTCAACAAGGAAACGAATCTTTAGGGACAAATTTAATGGGGTCTAAAGTAAGTCCCATGTGATAACTGGACAGCGACCTCTGTCATATCCCGGCATGTTACGACGTCAAAACTAACATCACCAACAATTTCGATACCTTCTGTAGCAAAATCATTCTCCAACGCCAGTGAAAAATAATCAAGAAAATACGTTGCACAAGCGACTGTCAAGGAACAAGTCTACATAATTCGAGCGTCACCTTGTGCTGATTTACGTTTGGATCGTTTGTTCGCGCCGATATCGAAGCGCTGATGGTTATAGTTAACCGAAATAATCATTTTCATAATGAATGCTAGTAGATGTGCTAGATTTCGTAATCAGCTACATACTTCGCTCTTGTTTTTGGTGGGGAATCGAAACGCGTGTTCAGCCATTGAGATACGGTTTGTCACGTTGAGCGAGCCCAAATAGCCAAGTATATCGGTAACATAGTCAATTATGAAAGCTAGTAGTGTTAATTACTTTCGGCTATTGTTGTGTGCTAGCAGCTCACCTCAATCATAAATCGTTCGCACAATCGCTTGCGTGGTTTTTCACTGGTTTGCTTAATCAGTAAGGTCTTTCTTTGTCCATTGCTTACACAGACTTAGCATGATGGTATGATGAGTTAATTCATATGGCTGACTTTCCCTCAGTCAAATGTACGAGGAACATATCTGCCTTGATACATGGAGAACCTATCAACACGCACTGCTTCACATAATTACAACGATGTAACGGGAACACTGATACAATAAAGATAATAGCGACCGCGACAACTGCTGATATAGACACATATAATAATGTGCTGACAGAATCATCGTATTCGGCTTGATGGTTTGTGGAAGATTATTGTAAACTTATTGTAAAGATATATACACTTATATTATAGCTGATGGTAAATATAAAATTAACTGAAAAAAATGATTCGTGGATTTTTCTTCGTTAGTCTTCTAGATAGCTTCTGCGGTATGATAGTAGTAAGCGATTAGTTTATTGGTACGCATGGTTTTTCTTGTCCTAAAAGCTGATGCGATCATGTGTGTCCTTATTTCTAATCTTCACTTCAATTTCGACCTCTTTGTTGCGCCGCCTAGTTTTTTTTTAAGGAGTTTATAGAATGTAGCTATGAAGGTGCTAAATACTTCACAGATTAATAAAAAAAATCAAGTTCGTTTTCACACTGTTCGCTTCAGATTTGAAAAAAAGCAGGCGTAAGATACTTCACGTAATTACATTTAGGTTGTACAAAGTACAATTTTTTTTGCGACTAGTAATAGTCTTAGCGTAACGTTGCAATTACGGAACAATCGATTACTGTGGGGAGAGTATATTGCTAGAAAAAAAAAAAAGTAACAGAAAGACACTTTAAAAATGTTACAGCGAGAATCGCTGCGCTTATTTTTATCAGTCCAGATTGCTGGGGCGGGCGTGCTCGTTTATGCATGTGAAAAATCTTGTGAAAATCTGCAAAGCAGAGCGGCTCGTCATAGGGCAGTGGGCTTGCTGAACTTATGGACATGTAATGGTCTAGGCTCAAATCGGAACGTAACCGGGTACTGTCTCATTCTGTTCCGTGCCGGCAGGAGCCAGCCGTCTGAAGTGAGGCCTAACAGTTAAAATATCGGACGAAAAACACAAAAAAAAAAAGCATTTTAGATCAAGCGAAGCAAGCGCAAATTACGCTTTCTCAGTCGTCTATGTGGAACTTGACACTATCCATATGGCTATCTAAAACGAATTTCTACAAGTTGAAACAATGACGTTATTTTCGAAATGTGCTTCGGGCTTGAATATTACTTCATTCGACTGAAACAATTCAGTAGTCTCTGCATCGCGTATTTGATAGGGTTGTATACGGTTTTCTCTTTTTTTTAGCGGGGATTCAAGAGACACAAAAACCGTCAACTAGAGGCAGTGAGCCTTGAATGCTAGTTAACTTCGGTATTTTGTCAACGAGACGATTCAGTAGCTACTGCAAGTTCCAAAAATAGTCACCATGGACAACAAAACAACTCGCTCCGCCAATAACATCGAACCACAATAATGAATAGCCACCGATTATTGTAGAATAGCAATAGAGTTCCTCTTAACGACAACAGACCCCTTACACCCCAGTCAAACATACAGCGACGGGTGCTCGATGCTTTTTACATGTTGTGAGACAAACTCAACTGATGAGCGACCGAACGTACCACATTAGATACGCGTGAATTAGACAAACCAATGCGTTAAATGTCCAATGGGTAAATCAGGTTAAAAAAAAATCAATGCCTGAGGATTCTATTAAGCTTTTCAGAGCTGGCGCAAGAAGGTCAAGAGTTGCTAAGTGAATTTTAATCGATCTCTGTATGTTGTAAAATGTTTTATTGAATTTCCATCATTAGCCATTAAAGTTCGTCTCTAGTATTGTCATTTTTAGTAGACAGGTTGGCCATTAAATCGGATGAAGTCGCAGTTTCCTCCTCCTCCTCCTCCTGATACCTCCAGAGGTTCCCACTGAAAGAGAAATACAATATGTCTGTTCGAACTTTAAAAAGCTTTTCCTTCTCCGGCGATAAGTTCTGCTGAAGAAGTCGCACGAGACGGGCACTTTCCATTGCCACAGCGGGTTGCTGTAAATTGCAAACAGTGATATTAGAGTCACAGCGTGCTCTAGGGGTAATTCAATTCGCTCGGAAGCCAGTAGCCTGTTACAGTAACTTTACGTACGTTCAAATGTTCATTATCCTTTATATAGCAGGACAAAATTTCGCTTAGTAAATGCATATCTTCATTATTTAACACACGGACCTTTAACTTAATTCATACCTTCGTTTCGTTTACTTTGACTAACTGTTTATGTCAGCTGTTCAACATAAGCTATACAAGTGAATCAATATGAGTCCTTTTCCGAACGCCTTATTCGAAGGACCTTTAGCAAATACAGGCTAGCTACACTCTAGCAAAGGCGGAACGATAATAATAATAATGGCTCGTTATTTATTATATATTTGCTAAAGGCTTATGTTTCCTAACCCAGCACTAATTAAAAGAGAAAAGAAAATTCTAAATATTAAACCATTGGATAGGTGTCGACTCACTCCGATTTCATTGATCTTCTTCATCATTTTGACATAATACTGCATTGTATTCCTTTTTCCTAAATCCCTTGAGGCCGTCTTGGCCAAGGTGTCCTGTGCGCTCCGGACCATTTCATTGGCAGATATATGATGCTCGAAAAGGTGACTCCGTACTAATCGATCCATCTCAAGTACACATCCGGCACATGACCAGTCGACTTCTATTGTTACGTCGCAGGACGGAACACGAAAAAGACAAGGCATACATTCTGAACATGGCCTTTATTCTGAGTATATCACGTCAAATGATTCAGCCATTTTAAAATGACACTCACATTACAGTTGTGGAATAAAATCGATATGTATATAAGGTATTACTGTTCTGTTCCGTTAGTACCTGAATGCTGATTAACGAAGTTTCGAAGATAATTTAGGTTGAAGCGACCATTGTATTTGGCTATCCAACGATGCGGGTTTCGTTTGAATACGAAAATGATTGGCCATTGGCTTTTGTCAGGAACCCCTAATTCTGCTGCCAAATCTGCGTTCTCTTTTTCACCGAATTCTAAATGATTGACCCGAACAAGAATATCCAACATTGTTTATTGCTATTGCAGTTGTAGCTAGTTTTTCTAGCTTTTTTTTTTTTCCATGTAATGTTACTTGAGTGTAAAGCTTATGGTGTTGATGACAATCTATTTAGGTATTTATTGTTGACACAATTTCGCTTATGCCTCGAGTTTGTCAGTGATAGCCGCGCCGCTTCAAATGTATTTGAAGATTTAAAAACTACTTTCAATTGTGTCTTGTACACCAAACGAACTTCTATAGAATTATTATATAGAATTATTTAATAGAAATTATTATTTGTTTTCTTCCTGGCATACTTTTAAAAACAACTCAAGCCTATTTTAGAGTTCATTCTAAAATCTTAAATCCGATTTCTAACCTACCCTGAACGCCAACTTCGGCGAGTATCGTGTCTTTATCCTGGTTAAGCATAGCCACTAGCTTTTCGAACTGAGTTTGGTTTACCCCATGGGGATAGTCTTTATCCACCTTCACGAAAACAACTGGAAACCGCGGAATAATCTGCAACACAATTTAAGATAAGCTTATTTGACTTCGAAAGTGATCGTGCACCTGTTAAAGTTTTGTTATAGTTCGTCACTCAGATTTATCAGCATGCTATAAAAGCCTTTGTCTTATATAAATCAATAAAAAAAAAAATATTACAAATGAATCTGTCGCGTAATTAATTTGGCTCTCCGCGGTAGCCATATACTGTAATACACAATCATAACTAAATTGTTGGTACTAGTCAACACAGAGGTAACAAGAGGCTTTAGTGCCCAAGCGGTGGCGCGGGAAAGTGCCAATAGCAAGGGGTCACACCCTTGTAGACTGCATCGCAGGATGCGATCCAGTCAGTAGCAGTTAGCGACGGAGTCACACGACATTCTGAAAGATCGATCCCCGAATTGCGGGTACAGAAGCCGTTTATAGACGTTACTATGATCCAAGACAAGATCCTTGCCTATGCAAAAAACTGGGAAGTGACAAAAAATGAAATCAATAAAACGACCATTGGTGCAAAACTATATCTGTAAACGCGCACCTAGCATTAAACCCACCGCCACAGAACGGTCTCAAATGGCCAAAATTCATAGACAAAGGTTACAGACAAATATTAATTAAAGCTAACTAAGGGGTATTCTTATAAAGACGTCTAAGTAGACTGATTCAAGAAAGACACGCGGCGGAAAAACGAATGAATCATGTCTTAGGTTATTATAAGAGCAAGGACGATGACGCAAGGAACTAACGAACAGAGGCATGAAAAAGAATTAGGGTAATTATAAGGAAAATTTACAATGAATATAAAAACGTTCATGAAGTGCAGCAAAGGGCATCAATGGAAGGAACTCAAGGATTTGGTCGAATCCAATACGTGAAGCTTCTTGTACTGCATCGCCATCAAGGAGTTTAAGAGAGATTCATTCAGACTTCCGTCCAATGTCATAAGAGGAGCGGTGGAATCCTTCTTCCCGGTACAGGAAGTTAGAGAGAAACATCCTACACAAATCTATACTTAAGATAATACTGGAAAAAAGAAAAATCAAGGTAATGACTAGCCTCGGATTAAACACCAGAATCTGAAACTTTTAATCAAATGATAAAGGCAGGAGGTTTTTAGTCCTAGACAAGGCACGGGGGCACGCTTTGAAAAACCCGAAGACGGAAAGCTTCTTACGTATCATTATGAAGGCATTAAAGTGCAAAGCCATTTTACCCTACCTGCGCCGCATTCTCTCGTCGTATCTGGAGGATAGGTTTTCCATAGGCGAAAGGGCAACACAATCGGCTTACTGCTGAAGTTCCTCAGGGCCGGTTTCTTAAACCGACACTGCGGAATCTAGCCTATGACGGAGTGTTTCAGCTACCGGGATTGTCCGAAGAAGTCGGGGTTGTGGCGTATGCTGACGAGCTAGCATTAATTGTCACCGCACGCAATGAAGGTCGTTTGGAGATTAGAGCGAATGAGACTAAAAAACCAGGGCGAGCATTGAATGAAAAGTAGCGTCGCAGTCAAGTAAGACGCTTTTCCCGAATGGCAGGAAAAAATTTAGAAGGGAACTCATTCTCACTGTGGGAGGGATCCACACACGCACAAACCGACGAACTATCTGGGAGTAATTATAGACACAGGACTTACGAGCTCGATGTATGTACATTGTTTATGCGACAGCCATGAAGTCCTCCAGTCAGGGCTCAAATTTGTAAGGATTCTACTGACGCATCGGGCGACAACTAGCAGCAGTAGCAGGATCTACGACACTCTATGCCTGCCCCGTAAGGACAGATAGAGATCTGATGATGAAAGAAATTAGAAACACTTGTGACCGGTCCAAAGAGTTATTGCGATTCGGATGGCGAGAGCTTACAGAACGATTTCAACGGAAATGTAACTTGCAAAACTGATCTTATGATACATTCCGGCAGATGAAGGAGCACAGAGCGTATTAGACGGAGAATCGGACTTTGCCATGGCAAGTAATTAAATTATAAACAAACGGAGCAGAAACTGGGCGAGCCGTATCTCTGATCGCAAGCGACACATACGTGCTGAACAGACCAAAGCACCGATCCGGAATTTAGAAGCGGTACGATAGGCCCTTCGAGGAGGTATTATACCCAACTTCTATCTGGATGTGAGCAATTACTTGGTTGACATTTTTGTTTTGTAAGGCTCAGGGGCAACAGATAATGTGCCACACACTATCTAGAGATGTGAAGCACTGCAGAAGACTCGAGGGGGGTGCGGATGCGTCCTGAGACAACTAGATACAAAAAGCATTATTAGTTCGAAAGAAAGTGGAACAACGGTACAGCATATTGATAAGGTATTATAAGATTTGGGGAAAATTTTGTTGAACGAAGAAGGATATAACAAACTCTGCGGTAAAAGGCGCATTGGGTAATGCCTAAGGACGATCTTACAAATCTTTAAAGGAATTCCAAACAAATTGGACATCAATAGAGAAACTTGTTAATGCGATTTCCGGTGTACAGCCAACCCTTGGAGACTTCAAAAATTTCTCTTATCAGGTTGGAGTTGCGAAGTTTAGCGGATATTAGTCGAACGAGCTTGAATCTCCTACATCTCACAAAAGAGGAAATGAACACAAAGGCAAGCTGTATGATATTTTCGCTAGTATTATTTTCCAAATTAGGCTAACTTATTCTTTCCATTTTGGGATGACTTTGGATCTGGGGCACAGAGTAGATGTAGCTCTTAGTGCAGTAGGAAAATTCGTTGGGGCTAGATTTGTTAAACGTAACACGAAATGAGAACTTAAGGTAGATAATGGAACGAAAGGATAATGCCATATAGGGTGAAGAACGTCTATAAGTAATATACGAGAATATTAAAACTGTAATAGAAAAAATACTTTAGTACTATTATTAAACTGCTAATAAATATGGGTTTCCGTGTCTTTGTTCATAATTTTTTTACTATTGTAGTTTCCTTTTAAACTTGCTACGACTTGAGCGGAAGCTTATCACCTTATTCATACCAAATGCTGTAATTACAATTGACACATAAGTTCGTTGAACCAGCCGATTCCACCCAGTTGATTTCAACTTACTTTGTAAAATGTATTCATATTGAGCTGAATGCTTCCTCGCGCATATCCCCCAGAGACTGAAGGGGTAACACCGCACAATGTGCACAACAGCTGTAGTGATGCGAAAACTATCGTCGCCTTCATCACAAAATTAGGTATCTGAGGACAGGCCATTCTTTATTTCACTAATCTCTGAATTTATGGACGAAATTCCAAATGCAAGTGGTCAACTTTCGCCAATGAGACACACTGATCTTAGTTTCGGATGTCGTAGTTTTTTCTGGCCCTCTGGTCACCCTTAGTGGCGCGACGGTAGGATGGGACGCTAAATTAAACTGTGGTTGAAGAAGAGTTTGCTTAATGGGTTCGGACAAAAACGTTTCTCGTTTTTGCTTGTTGGTTGGTGTCATTCTGTTCGAAAAGCGACGACGCGAGAAGGAACCGAACAGAAAGTCAGCAATGATCCGTTGTCCCATAGCGATAACCAGCTGGCGTCTTCAATGTAAAGAACCACGACTACAGCTTCAATCGAGTTGGTAAAAGAACGTTAGTTTGGGGTCTATGCTTTGCAAGAATTTCTGTTTTCCTTAGCGATTCGAGCTTCATTTATCCATTGTTAAACATTCGTCCACTTTGTCTAATCTATTTCTATTTGAATTTACCTTTAACCTCTTTTTTATTGATTGTTGAAGATTGTTGAAACAGAACCACATTAAATGTTTACTCAAACAAAAAGTCGACTTTACGGCTCACCTCACAAGTTTCAAAACGATGTTTGAACATCGTTTTCAATACGGTTAAAGCAGTATTTCAACATGTACATTCGAAGATATCCAAGCAAATACAGTACGAACAATAGCATGATGCGTCGTGTTCGGTATGGGATAAAAGTTAGATACGATTATACTTAGCTAGCTATCAAAGCAAGCATAGCCTATCGCGGGCAACGGTCATTTAATCTGCCGGCGGAACGTTCGCCATGAACACTCAAAGAGTCAATCAATGATTTCATCGAAATTCTAATTAAGAGCAGGTGGCTCTTTATGTTCAGATCTCTTATTGAATAAATAATTATATCCATTTGAATAACCGTAAAATGAATTCACGTACTTTTCAATAAATAGCAAACGTCATTTATTTATA